AGGAAAGACTAGGCCCGAGCTCCAGACATGAGAGGGAGAAGGAAGGGGTGGCTGTGCCGCTCCTGGAGAATCGGTAGATGTGGTAGACGTAGAATTCCTTGGCTGCAGACTGAGAGAGATAACTGGAGAGGAGGCGTGTTGGGAGGGCACTGGGGTCAGTGGCCCCACTCTCAGCAGGAAGGCCTCTGCTTGTGAGGGGCTGCTTAGAGCTCTGGGGCCCACTGCTCTCTAGGCTCTCGGTCCCACCCAGGCCTTGTTCATCTCACCTACTGCTTAGGTTCTGAACAGGCGCTTCTGTGGTGGTGCCAAGCCCCCTGCCTGCAGCTCGGGCTGGAATGAACATGCACCTATCTCCCAAAGAACTCATTTTCCTAGTCCAGGTGGGGGCTACTGATTCCTGACTCCCACTCTGGGGACCTGCCCTCCCCTGCTCCAAGACAGTGGATATAGCACAAGTTGGTGGGAGGAAGGGGAGGGGAGTGGACTGCAGAGAGGCTGGGAAGAAGTACACCGCATGTCCCTGCTCTCTGGGGAAGGACTGCTCAGCCCACCCCGCAATGTCCCAGTGCCGCTGTCCCTTTGCCCATGCAGCCAAGACTACGGATGCGCACAGGCCTTGAGGCAGAGACCTCTGGACCCGGAAGGCTTGGGTCTCCCTCTATCAAGACCATTCACCACCCCCTGTTGAATCTGTCAGAACTTTGTGCAGCAGAACTTACAGTGTGCCCATTTTACAGACAAACAAATAAGGCTCAGAGAACATGGTAACTACCCATGCAGGGAACTGGTTAGTTTCAGATCTGCCTAACACAAGAAGTGGCTTAGTGGCCAGGTAGTGGTGGTGCACACCTTTAATCCCAGCACTTGGGAGGCAGAGGCAGGCAGATCTCTAAATTTGAGGCCAGCCTGGTCTACAGAGCAAATTCCAGGACAGCCAGGGATACATAAGAAACCATGACTGGAAAAACAAAACAAACAAACAAACACCCAAAAAACATAACAAAACAAAAAGTGACTTTGTGAATGATGACCTCTTTCTGGAGAGGCAGCTTCATTATCCTATGTGGGTGAGCTGGACACAAGCCCTTGGATGGAGATTGGGTGTGGCCGTGCAGCCAGGCAGCAAGACAGAGTGTCCTCAGTATCAGCAGAGGAGATGCTAGGGGCTCAGGGAAGGCCAGATCAGCCAATGAGCCAAGGCAGTCACAAAGTGGTCTCACTGAGGGACATTGAGAGCCACCATGTTTGGGAGGCTTGGCACAGCAGTAGGTGGCAACCGTTTGAGGTGGACCTCCCAGGTCCCTGCTGCCTTACTCCTTCAGGTAGAGCCTGCTGAACTTGGTTTTTAAAAGGCTTCCTCTTGGAGTCCCTCCCCTCCCTTACCCCTCCCCTCCTTTCCCCTCTCTTCTGTCCTTTCCTCAGGGACTCCTTATGTAGCCTGGGCAAGCCTTGAACAAGCTCCTTCTGCCTCAGCCCCTCGAGTGTCTGTAACACAGGTGCTACAGACAATAATGTTTACAAGGGTCACTGCTCTCTCTTTAAAATTTTAAAGGTGCTTAGGTAGGAGGGTCACAAGTTCAAGGTCAGCCCGAACTACGAAAGAGAGTTCTGGGCCAGCCTGGCCTATGTTGTGAGATACCCTATCTCAACCAAAAAGGAAAAGAGTCCTGTCGTTTGTCTTTTGGATCTTTTTGTTTTGAAAGATGATCTCAGGTGGGCCCTGATTGCACTGCGCTGGGATGACAGATGTGTGCCACTCACAGGCCTCCCTGACCCCCAGCTCTCTCTGGCACAAGTGCCAGGCCCTGGAGCACAGAGAGATAAAGGAGGCGGTTGCCTGTCTCCCTTCCCAGGGCTAAGTGTGTAGTGATGCCCAAGCCCAGGGTCCCCTCCTCAGAGAAAGCCATGGAAGGCAAGCATTGCCCTGAGTCTGTCCAATGGCTGCTCCCCAAGCTCCCCGCCCTATCCTGAGTTCCCACTCCTGCTGATGGTGGCTGACTCACTGATAAAGGGTACCAGACTACCTCCTCACACGGCCCTTCCTGTCCCAGTCTCAGAAATCTCACTCAGGTGCCTAGTGAGGAGAAAGGGAAAGCCATGGAAATGACCCACCCCAGTTCTCCTGGCTGCCCAGTCCTTACAGATCCTGACCCAAGACAAAAGATGAGGTCTCTGGGATGGCAGAGGCTGAGAACTGCAAGGGTCAGAAACTGACAGGGAGGAAACAGGAGAAGCAGGGACAAACGCCAAGATGGGCTCACCTGAAGCCTCAAGAAATGGGGGCTAAAGAAGAGGGGTTAATGGAATACACACACCCAAATGGGGTGGGTGTGGACACTGTATCTGGCTGAGAGACAGGTGGAAACAGGGCAGAGTGTGAGAAAGGAGAAAGATAGGCAGAGATTGGGGGCGGGGGAGGCCCAGACCTGGAGGAAATCCAGAGAAATTGAGGGGTAGAGGAGGAGACCGCCCCCTCCCCATCGACAAGGGCTAGCAGGAGGATGTGGAGGGGGGGACTTGCGAAAATAAATATTTATAAATGCATTTTCTAAATTCTTTTTGCATTTTCCTGGTAAATTATTCATCTGTGTGTCTCCCGCTCCCCTATCTGCTAGAGGAGCTGGGGGGTCTTTTCTGTGTGCTCCCTTCCATCTTTCTCCCTATTCTCCTCCCCACGCCTCTCATCCCCTTCCTCTGCCATCCTCCCCTCCCGCTCCTCCTCCTCTTTCAAGCCTCCCGCTTCCGGTCTCCTCTGCAGGTCGGCAGACGAGGAGGGGCCGCCACCCCGAGGTGACCAGCTGCCACGCTCTGGATTTCTTCCCTGCCTTAAAGAAGAATAATCATAAGTCAGCGAGAGAGGGTTTAAAAAAACACGCCGTCGTCGCGGCAGTCTGGCACCCCCAACCGGGACCGCGGGAATCTTCCTCTGGAGGCCAGGATGCTGGGGCGGCCAGGCGGAGGCTGAGTGGACCAGGGGAGGGAGCTGGCTGGGGTCCGAGGCTGTCCCCGGGCCCCACCCCAGCCTCTCGGGTCACACAGCCTCAGTTTCCCCCTGGGGGCTAGGCGCTAACTCCCAGCTGTGTGTGTCAGCAGGAGGCAGTCGAAGCAGTTTCCTGGCCACTCTGACAAGTGTTTGGTTGGGCACCAAAAAGAAACAGTTTGGGCCTTTTTGTTTTAATTTTGGGTGTTTTTTGTTGTTGTTGTTGTTTTTGGTGCAGGGGGCGGTTCAAACCCAAGACCTTGCATGAACTAGGAAAGGGTTCTACTACTAAACAACACCCTAAATCCTTGGCTTTTGTTTTGGTTTGTTGGACAAGGTTTTATTGTGTGGCAGACAGGCTGACCAGGACCTCATGATACTCCTGCCTCAGCTTCCTGGGATCACAAGTATGTTGTCATCATGACCCAGATGAAACAATTTCTTCACAAAATGTGCTTCAGGTTGGCTCTGGAAATCCCAACACTCGGGAGTCTGAGGCAGGAGGAATGAGAGTTCGAGTCTAGCCTGGGCTGCAGATAGATTGATGTCCTGCCTCAAGAAAAAGAAAGGGGGGAGGGAGGAAGAGAGGAAGGGAAGGAGGAAGGGGTGGAGGGAGGGAGGGAGGAAGGAAAGAAGGAAAAGATGGAGGGGGAGGGAGGGAGAGAGGGAGGGAACAAGCCAGTATTCTGGACTGGGGATGTGGCTCAGCTGGTGGAGGGCTTGCCAGACATGCAGGAAGTCCTGGATTTAATCCCCACATAGCATAAAAACCAGGTGGTGGTGGGTGGCACACACCTGCAATCCCAGTACTGGGGACCTGGAAGCGGGAGGATTAGAAGTTCAAGGTCATCCTCAGACTTTGCTGCCGGTCTGTGCTGCATGAGTCCCTGACAAAACCAGGAACGCTGCAGTAAGTCCTGCCTGCCATCAGTCTGTGGCCTCAAGCCCAGGTGCCTTGGTTTCCTGGCAAGCTGGACCTGGCAGCGAGGCCTCCCTGGGGTTCATGGAGGGCAACTGTCGTTCCCGTTCACAGTGCTGTGTGCTCTACATGGGGCACTCGGTGGGCCCCTGTTCTGTCCTTCACCCACACGGGACCCAAACCCATTAGTTCTTCCCACTCAGCACCTGGAGGCTGCCTCTCAGGCTGAGCAGGAGGAGCCACAGGGGTGCAGCACAGTGCTCCCTATCACTGGACCAGTCTGACCCTAGCAGCTTTGGGTCCCTGCCACAGCAGTGGAGGGGGCTCCTCTAGCCTCAGCCTCTAGGTGTCAGGTTCTGGGTCTAGGTTTGGACTTTGCTTTTGGACCTCAGCTCCCCTCATCACTTCCCCTCCAGCTGTGTGGGTCTCAGGAGACGGCACCGCTGTAGGAACAGGTTCAGGGAATCTCACCTGTGTCCCCCCCACTCGCTCTGACCTGGAGACTACTGCATATTGGGGACTTGGGAACCAGGTTCACGGGTGATAGTGTCTTCCCAGGCCCACTCTTGAAGAAGCTGTGAGGTCATTGCATGGTGGGATCTTGCCTTCTTCACTCTTGGTTTTGTCTTGTTTTTGTATGTACTTTTTGACATGTGTTCCAGTGTGTGCATGTATGTGGGCTGTATTGGTCAGGGTTCGCCAGAGCAGTGGATCTTAACCTTCCTAATGCTGTGGTCCTTTAATACAGTTCCTCATGCTGAGGTGACCCCCACCATACAATTTATTTTGTTACTACTTCGTAACTGTAATTTGGCTAGTGTTATGAATAGTAATGTAAATATTTTTGGAGATAGAGATTTGCCAAAAGGGTCATGACCCATAAGTTGAGAACCACTGCTTAAGAGGAGCAGAACGTCTATACACACACGCATTTGTGTCCATTGGATATATATCTATAGAGATGTTCTAATGTATAAATATATTTCTACATTCATTGTGTGCATGCCATACATCACACATGCGTATGCATGTGTGTATCCATATCTAGACAGATGGATGACAGGATAGATAGAGAGATAGATAAAGGCAGACAGACAGACAGACACAGACAGACAGAGAAATTTATTAGGATGGCTTACAGGCTGTGGTCCAACTATTCTAACAACGGCTGTCTACCAAGAGAAGGTCCAAGAATCCAGTAGTTGTTCAGTCCACGAGACTGGATGTCTCAGCTGGTCTTCAGTACACAGCAGAATTCCAAAGAAGTAGGCTCTAATCCAGTGAAGGAATGGACTTGCCAGGGAGAGCAAGGGCAAGCAGGCAGAGAGAGCGAGCTTCCTTCTTCCATGTCTTTATTTAGGCTGCCAGCACAAGGTGTGGCCCAGATTAAAAGTGGGTCTTCCCACTTTAAAAGATCCAAATTAAAAGTGGATTTTCCCCAGTTCAAATGCTTTAATTAAGAAAAAAAATATCTCTCACAGGTGTGCCCAGCCATTTGGGTTTTGGTTAATTCCAGATATAGTCAAGTTGACAACCAAGACCTGCCATCACATGGGGGTTCGTGTGCATGTTTGTCTGCTTACATGTGAAGCAGGAGACCAGCCTGGGTGTCCTTCTTAATCACTCTCCATCTTATTTTTTGAGGCAGCATCTCTCATTGACAGTGGAGCTCAATGGTGGCCTAGGCTGGCTGTCCAAGCGCCAGTGTCCTTCTGTCTCCAGCTGCTCAGAGCTATGTGCCACTAAAGCTGTCCCACTTTCCCAAGCTCTGGGGATCCAGAGTCGATTCCCATGTTTGCAGGGCCAGCACTTTCCAGACTGAGCCATGGCTCTAGTCTCCCCCAACTCCCTCCCTCTTCCTGCTCTTCACCACTGTCAGTGCCACTTGAGGCTTGTTCTAAGAGTGGCCTCAAACTCACTATGTAGCAAAGGATGACCTTGAACTTCCGACCCTCCTGCCTCCACCTCCAAGTGTGGGGTTATAGGCATGCACCACCAAGTCTGGGTTATGTGGTGCTGAGGATCAGTGCCAGGTCTGTGTGCATGCTAGACAAGTACTCTACCACTTGGGTCACATTCCCCAACCCCTGAGGCTTTCTTTGGGTACCAATGATGACTAGAAAATGCAGATGACCTGGTCTGCTGCTCCTTGATGGCATGTCTCCAAGGCATCAACGCAAGGCTGCAGGAGTCCCCTTGAGCCAGCACACCACAAATCTTCCTCACACCTCTGTCAGAGCGGGTTTGGATCCTCCTCTCTGAACCAGGTTCCTCCAGGAAGCCGATGAGGTCAGATGGGTGGAGACCCAGACTGGCAGGTCTTCCTCTTCCTGAGGAAGTCAGTGTGGCCAAGGGAAGGTGAGCAGGCCACTGTATCCTCTGCCACAAACTCAAGTGTCTGAGAGGAGGAATGAAACCTGGTGGCAGAGATGGAAAATTCTAAATTCTTTTCAACCAGAGCTGCTTCTCTGTCTGAAGCTCAGCAGGACCCAGGCAGTGGGGGTGGGGGTGGGTTGGGGGGGTGTCAGGTGGGGGAGCTGCAGCGTGACCTCCACAAGCCCTCCACCAGGGTAAAGGGTAGGAGCTGTGTTATACTGCAGGAGAGAGGGAAGCCCCTGTGAGGGATATGTGTTTGCCCCACCCCAGCAGGAAGTGGGCTCACCCCATCCTCCTTTACTTTGGGAGCTTGGGAGTCTGAATCTCCAGGAGGGTTCTGGAAGTCTTTGCCAGAGGCTTTTCTGGGAGGACAGGGTGTCTGTATGTGCGCTTGTGCATGTGTGTGTGAGAGTGTATTGTGTGCACCTGTGTGCATGTATCTCTCTGTGTGTGCATGCCTGTACATGTTTATGTATGTATGAGTGTATATATATGCATATTGGTATATCCATATGTCTACGTAGGGTGTGTATACATACATATATGTGTGTATGTGCATGTCTGTCTATCCCTGTGTTTGTGTCTCTCTATGTCTGGGTGCTTGTCTGTGTGTCTGTTATGGCTGTGTATGTGTAAGTCTGTGTATGTGTAAGTCTGTGTATATTTGTATCTCTGTGTGTGCGTGTGCCTCTCTATGTCTATGTGCTTGTCTGTGTGTTTGTGTGTCTGCCTGCCTGTGTGTGTGTGTGTGTGTGTGTGTGTGTGTGTGTGTGTGTGTTTGAATGGGTGTATGTATATGTGTGTGTGTGCATGTGTGTGTTTGTGTTTCTCTATGTCTGGGTGCTTGTCTGGGTGTTTGTGTGTCTGTCTTTGTCTTTGTGTCTGTGTGTACTTTCTTGCCTGTTGTTTTCAGTGTCAGTGGTCAGATTGATGATTTTATAGTCAGGTGTGTGGTTTCCTCAGAATCAATTAGTACAATGACTCCCTCCCCATAGAAAGAAAGAGAGATTAATGTTTTGGTCAATAAGTTAAGACTATGGAAAGGTGTTCTTCAAAGAACACATCATGTGGGGAGAGAACTCAAGGGCACTGACTCAATCTGAGCAGCTGTAGAGTTAGGGTAGGTACTGTGGGTTTCAGATAACTACAGAAAGAAAGCTCTAGAAAGAATGCCTTGAGCTGACTTAAGAGGGCTCAGGCCTGGGGAAGCCAAATCTCAAAGGTCACACAGACTTGGGAAGCATCTGGTCCCCTCGACCTCAGCTTGGGGGTGATTGTGCCTGAGGCCTAGATTAACCAGATCC